ACAGCCTTGAGGAGGTTTCTCTTCAAGAAATAAACGTAGCACGTGTTCAGCTAAAAATACTGCAGGAGGAATCCTTCCTTGGCCACAGCCCCGATAGAGGAGAGCAGCTGTGAGTTGCAGGGATTTTGTTTGTTTTTAAACTTTATCTGTCTTCAAAGTGATGCAGTGGCAGTCATAGGGTGCTAGAAGAGCCAAAGTCCCCGTTGGCCTTCTTTTGCATCCAAGGATGTATGTGGACTAGGACTTCTTATAAGGCAGCTATTTGCAGCGTGGGTTGGAGGAGGCTGTTGGTTTTATTTGCAGTTATCTGCAAGAGCAGAAACTCTGGAGGTTTACTCTGGGATGAGTTGAACTTTGGTGGCCGCAGGATGGAGCATCTTTGAGGTTGCTCGTCAGCGCGATGGTCTGCTGCTGCACAGAGGTGGAGGGCGAGGAGAGGCATCTCGGCCTGACTTTTTGCAGGAATCAGTCTACGACACTGAACATTCCTTATCGAGCAAGGCACCCGGTTCGCTGTGTTAACGGGTAAAATGGATATTGACCCCGTGAATCGACTGTCTTCCTCTAACCGTGTGTGCCTTTGATCAGTTCACTGCTTTTGAAAAGTCAAACCGCGCCCATGCGTCTCTCAGTGGGGTGGGATTTCTTACATTTGGCTTAACCTTCTACTTTAGGGCGTTTTACCTCTGCAGATAATTTCAGCTTAGTGTTTCCATTCTTAAACCCGGAGCAGGGAGTTATTGCTGCCTCGATAGATTTGTGTTGTGGGATTGGGCTTCCTTGCTGGCTGTATCAGCACTGCAGGTGGATGCTGCTGCTCATCATCATGAAGGTGCCAGGAAGCTGCACTCAAGCACTGGCATGCCCTGTGCTAGCTGCTCCCACTCCCAGACAGACAATTTTAAATGGTGCTTCACTTTGCATTGTAAAAGTAATCCTCCCCTCTTTTTCTTTTCTTTCTTTTTTTCCTTTTTTCTTTCTTCCTCTTCTTTTTTTTTTTTTGTTTTGCATTGCTGGCCAGTCATTCGCCCAGCACCCCAAATCCCAATTGAGACCCGATGCTGAGGGGCAGATGAGGCAGCAAATGTATTCAGCCCGATGATTTCCACATGAGCAGGGCTCTGTGCCGGTGAAAGACGTGAACTCATTGCAGAAACCTCCCAAGAACAAAGCTTTGGAGAAAGGATCAACCTTATTAGCACATTTAAGGAGAAAAGGGGTTTGTCACTGTATCAGTTTATGCTTCAGCACATTAGTTTTGTAAATGTCTTTGTGGAAGGATTGATTAAAAAACTATATTTACTTTCTCCCCCTAAAAACCCAGAAAGAAAAAAATTAAATCCTCAGCACAGTAGTTTGCTGTAAATCTTTTAAACAAAGTTTATGGGGTTTGATGGTTTGAAGCCTTCTGCAGTTAAAATGAATTTTTTTTTTCGAGCAATCTTTTGGTTTCCCAAGTATTCTTCTGGCCTTTTCACTTAAAAAGGAAAGGCAAACTTTCATGAATTGAGCAGGGGCACTCTTTGAATGAAGTGAGGGTCAGTGCTTCTCCAGGCTTTTCTTCCCATTGTTTGAAGAATACACTGAGGATGGTAGGAGCAGATGTGCTGGTTCTATCCAGGCTTATTCTGCCCCTAGTATGGATATGAGCTGCCTTTGCATTAATTCCTCCCATGGTTACTGCAGTTCAGTCTACGTTACCTAATGTATTGAGGCTGTTTGTAAGCATAGGACGAGGCTCTTCTGATAAAGAGTTGGTGCTTTACATTGGCACCATCCCATTTATAAACAACAACAACAAAAAGATGAAAAATATCAGTAGAAGGAAAAATCAGTGGAAATCTCTTGGTTCTGTGATTTATGTTGTGAGATGTAAACCCTGCGCTTGTGACCCCTTGTAGAGGTGTATCTGCCATACAGTCCTGCTGCAGCTGGGACCAGCAAACTCAGCCAGCTGTGTTAGTGATGGAGGCTGAACTGATGCAGCCATTGATTGCTGAATGTGAAATGTTGTTTGTAATAGTACCTGCTGCTGGGACTTAATTCCAGAAAAAAAAAAAAGGAAAAAAAAAGAAAGCAGAAGATGAAGGAGATTGCATTTAAAATAAGTATATGTGAATGACTGATTATCTGTATTTCATAATACACAGAAAAATGAGCCATCCTTTGAGCGTTAGAGTACTAATGGCCTTTGTTTGGCCAGTGACTCTCAATTTAACTATACTGTAAATGAAATGGAGAATGGGCACTTGTGCTCACAAATATTTTAATGCTAACAAGAAAAGAAGTATGTTTTTTTATTAGGGTAGAGGTTAAGCAGTTTGGCTTTGGAGCAGAGATGCTACATTAATTAAAGGCAGCCAGAAACCTGGCAGATTTTTTGTTTTCAGGGGTAAATCCTGCAAACAGAGGCTTGCTTCTGACTATTCAAACTGACATGAAAACCTCTGCCTTGTGTTAGTTACAGACATGGCATCCTTGGTTGGGCTGTGTCCCGTCATGGAAATACTGTGGTGTCACTGCATGTTACTAGCTGGGTTCCCGCTGTTAGCGTGTCTTTTAAGGTGGGTTTTGTCTCGTGGGCATGCATCATTGCAACCACTGCTTCAAGGACCGTATCTCTTTCACCTTCTGGATCTCTCATCCTCTTGAAACAGAGCAGTTATTCAGTGGAGAATGTGAAGTACATCCTTATCCCTGCCTGCCACTAATGATGGTTTGTTTTGACTGGGAAAAAAAAAATATAAAATACATATAATTACTCATCTGTTTGCCTCCCTTTCTGTCCCATTCTCTTATCTTGTGTGTGGGATGCGGTTTACTGTGGGCAGAGGTGGGCTCAGGTCTGGGCAACACGAGGCAGCTGTGGGAAATCCCGCTTGCGTGAATGATGGCTCGAAGAAGCAGGCTGTGGTCCGCTTGTCCCCTTGTAGCAGGCAAGGAACGATCTTTACCCCATGAAATGCCCATGTGGAAAATCTCTGACACGTGTCCCTCTTCCCCAGAGGGGGATATACTGGGAAGAAATCCTGGTCTGCCATGCTGGAGCTGCCTTTGCCGCAGCCCCCTCCTGATTCAGCCTTGTCTGGAGGAAATTACAGTTTTGCACCTGATCCATTATCAAAAAATATTCACTCGCAATGACGCTGGATTAACTGTGACATTTTACAAGGCCAGCTGGGGGAAGCGCTTCATGATTAAGAGAAGCTAGTTTCTATGCGAGCCGTGTGCTTTACTCTCCAAACTGTCTCATTTTTGGAGGGCAGCATGCGTATTTCTCACTTTCTGACAAGTACATTTTAAAAACAGGGCTAAGCTGCAACCAGTCAAACTTACTCCATCCCCTGGTCAAACAGAGTTGAAGAGATGCTATCTTCAGCTGGATTTACGATGCACTTGTGTGCTTGGGAGATGTTGTGTGATAACCAGCCATAGGTTGACCATTCAGGGAAGCGGTCAGATGACAAAAGGAGTCACCCAGCAGAAGCTTAGTGTGATGGCCTTGAGATTTTGTAGTTGTTCAGGTTGTTGGACCATGATGCATTAATTTAACCTTCTACATAGCATGGACAGAGGAACTTTATTTTCTGATATCCAGAGCCTGCCTTTTTTTCTACTGGGTACTCTTCAGGCTTAAAATCCGTTCCAAGATAAGAGTCTCCTTAAACTTGCTTAGCAGTCAGTAGAGCTGGAAACAGCTCGGTCGTCTGAGGAGCAAAATGATACTGGGTGTATCGGTTCCAAATCCTGCGGGGATACCCATGATGTGGCAGAGGCTGTTGCTACTGACGGAAAGCTCTGCCGAAGGAGTGGGACCAAGAAATCTGACTAATGAAACCTAATATCCACACTGGTGTTTGAGTTGAAAACCGTTTGCCTGAGCTCTTCTGCTAGTCCAGCATGAGAAGTCAGTGTGCTTCCAAGAGGAACTGTGGAGAAGTTGTGTCCTTCATCTAGGAGTGGAAGATGGAAATAAAAATCGGGAGATAAAAACCTTCCGATTTCTAGGATAATGAGATGAGAGAATATAGTATCAGGAGAAAATACCTGGAAGGCATATCTGGCTGATGCAGACGACTCCTCTGAAAAAAATTTTGTCAGTCCTTAATCTCCTACTGAGAGTACCCTGACTTTGAGATTCCTGTTGTGTCCCAGAAAACAACTTGCGGATTCATCGAGCTTCCCTGTGTTTTGAAATGCATAATAAAAAGTCGCTTGCTTTCTAACACTGCTGCGGCGTGCTCTGTTCTTGCCATCCCTTAGGTGAATGGTTTGCGAGGCTCGATTTCCCAAAAGCACTTGGTATTGACTCAGTCCTACTTCCAGAAGCCAAGGGGAATATCTGCTGAGGCACTTGGAAGCCCCTCCTGGAGTTGCTCAGGTCTGTGGGGACTTCCACATGTGCTTTGATCTTGCTGTCTGCCGCTCTGGGAAACAAAGATTTTGTGGAGAGCAGATAGTCAGCGTTCCTGAAGACTTCTAACTTCTCTTCTGCAGCAGCTGTCAGTATGTTTTACCTTTACGGTGACTATCCCCCATCCAATGCATCTTTGGCACTGCCTTTGATGTATGCTGAGAAGACGCGGAGGGCATCCCTGGAGCTGTGAGGGGGGTTTTCGGTACAGACGACCTCAGGGCAGTGGCTTTCTGATTTGCAGACTCTCCTACTTGATGAGCAAGAGGACACCCTGCAGAAGGGGTGCTGGGGAAGTTGGATGCAGCCATCAAGTCCTGGCACCACAACACTGGGTGCAGTGGGGAAGATGTCCTCGTCAGAGTGCTGTGCTCGAGTCCTCGAGTGACTTTGAGTCTCTGCGAGGAGGGTGGGTTACTCTGTCCTTCACCAGGGAAATTGCATCCACGTGAGGCTTTTCTCCAGTGGCACAAACCTGCCTTGCGCTGCTGCCAACAGCTCCTTGGATTCTGCGTTGGGAAGAGCTCTTTGGACTGCTGTTGTAATGCTCTCTCTCAACATAGCCCGTGTTTGCCTACCCGGTTTAAAGTGTTACTAGTTCCTGAATACAGAAACTATTTGCAGGAACTCATTAGATTCCCTGCTCTTGAGCACTACAGCTTTTAAGAAGTGGCTGCTAAAGATGTGGTCAGATATGCTATTGAAATTAAAATGCAACATGAATTTAATGTGAAATAGCTTCTCCTAAATGGCTGCATGCGTGTAGATATTCCTAATCTGGAGCGGAGATTAATTTTTAATCTGTTATATTTCATTTCAATGTATCCATGAGGCTAAATTGAAACAAAACAATATTATTCCAGGATAAACGTGCTCGCCTGTGGGTATTCAGGAGGAACGGGAGCCTGAACAGCTCTGCTGGCACAGCTCCGTGTGTGCACAAGCTGCAAACCGATTGCAGGCAGCGATCGTCTGCTGCGATTTTAAGAGGGAACCCATGATGTGGAAAATCCTTTGCAGCTGATATGTCAGTCATACCTGAGGATCAGCCAGGAGGGAGGGATAACAGCACGTTTGCTTCCCAGTTGAGGTTGAGCAGCTTGCAAAAAAT